GATGAGCCCCGCGTCTCTAGCCGCCACGCCGCGGGCCGCGCGCGACACTCGGCCGCCCTAGCGCCGACTTGTTGCTCGGCGGGGACACGACGCAGGCGAGGGCAGGGGAGGAGCGGAGCGAGCGCGGCATCCGCAGCGACGTCGACGGACGGCGGCAGCGCTCAATCGGGCCATCCAACGACGACGCCACGCCGCCGTCAAGAGTTCGTCGTGGTGAACGCGCCGGCCCGGCCGCCCCGTGGCAACATGTCTCGGCGTGCAGGCCGACAACACCAGGATGACGAAGGCGGCGGTGGCGGTGTGGTGACGCACTGCCGGTCATTCCACCCTCCCCCTGCCTCGTCACGGAGTGGTGTGGCGGGGCGGGGCGGGGCGCGCCACGACGGCTGGCAGCACCGCCGCCACTTTGCATTCGATTCCCTTATCCGGGCATGGGCGCAGAAGGGCGTGGCGCGGCGCGCGGGTCGAACGGCGGCCCGTCGCGGACGCCACGTGCTCGCGGGCCCCCCCTCCTCCCCGCGGCGTGCAGGTGCCCGCCAGCCCTCGGCAGCACGCCCACGCCCCGCCAGCAGCAGCAGCGGCAGCACCACGTGGCGCGCCACGTCCGCGAGCCTGTGGGCGCGACCCCCCGCGGGTCACTATCGCGGCACCGGAAGGAGGAAGGGTCGCGGCCGCAGGGACTCAGGCACTCATGCACGCACCGGCGCGGCGGCGCGGACGCAGCCCCGCGGCGCAAGTGGAGCGGAACCGGAACCAATACGGCTCCCCCTCCACCTCCTGATGTGGGTCACACTTGCCCCCCACTCCCCTACCCACATCACACACAAAAAAAGTTTAAGGACACGGCCCACCATTCATTCAATGGGGTCCAACGTGCAGAGGTACGTACTTGCGAGCACCACACTACCACGCCTCCCAGCAGCACTACTCACCAGGACGTCGTAGCAGATCTCCCTCAGCTCCTTCTCGACCTTCTCTCTGTACTCCTTGGCCATCTGCTGCTTCCGCTCGGAGCCCTCCGTCTTCTGCTCGATGCTGGAGATGACCCTCCAGGACGACCTCCGGGCGCCGACCACGTTCTTGTACGCCACGGACAGCAGGTTGCGCTCCTCGTTGGACAGCTCGACGCCGGTCTCCGTCACGGCCTTCATGGCGGCCGCCATGTCGTCGTAGCGCTCGGCCTGCTCGGCCAGCTTCGCCCTCTGGACCAGCTCTTCCTTGTCGACAGACATGGCTGTGTGTGTGAGGGGGAGTTGTGTGTGCGAGTAAGGGTCGAGCGGCTCACACGCTCAGTCAGACACCAACCGGGAGGGTGTGCCTGTGCCTGCAACAAGAGAGAAGAAGCAGGTTACAAACAAAGTACGGACATACGAGCCACAGCTACAGCCGCGAGCGACGAAAAAAAAGTGGGGGGCATAGGCAGTTTTGCTGACTGCCTTATTAAAAGGTGTCAGTCGCTACACACAAGGACACGCGTCAGCACTTTTGTTGAAGCCACCCATTCGTGCCTCAGGTAAGCGTGCCTCGTCTCCCATTGAAACAATGCGTAGGATACCAAGTGCGCACGCGCCACAGCGTTGCGGGTTCGCCTCTGCACTCCCTTCAGCCACGGCGCCGATTCAGACCCAAGCACCTACACGGATCATCCCGGCACGGCTACGCCCGCATGTAGGAGCCTCGCTTTGTAACAGAATGTGCAAAGCGTCATGCGTTTCGAGTGGCATTGACTGGGCCCAGGGTAACACTTGCAGAGACATAGTCGCCCCTCCCCGCGCAGTGTGGGTGATTCGAAGAGTCGCGACTTGGGAGCCCCCCCCCCCCCCCCCCCCTGTTGCAACATGCCCCCCCCATGGCGTTTGGTGGCCTCACTCGGCGCACTCAGCAGCACCCCGCGGCTGCGGGGCACCCCCCCCCCCTCCCCCAACCCTAGTAATCGCAGCCAGACGCACCTCTGGCAGCGGAGCGATCACCAGGACATCACCAGGACCAGGACGACGAGGACGCCCTCAGCCGGCTCCCTGCGGTGCAAACGCGCCACGCTGCGCCACGCCAACTCCTTCCGAGCCACAGAACGGCGGCAGAGCGACTGAGCGCTCGCGAGGGGGAGGGGGCCGCGAGGCGCCGGCGGGGAGGGGCGCGAGGTGG